CCGTGGCCCCCCCTCCCGCGCTCCCCCCCCCCCTGCCCCCCCCCCCCCCCCTGAAATTCTCATGGTGGTTCGCGAAAAGACCTTACTAGTGCATTATTTAAACTGTTATGTTTATTCATATCATGATCTGATCACCATACTCAATATATCCCATATGCATGGGGTATTGGGGTAATGATACAAAGGGTTTGCTAGGGTAGACCCTCTTTCACTCAGACTCAGCCCCCCCCCCCCCCGAATCAAACTCCCGCCCCCAAATCGAAATCCTGGCTACGGGCCTGAGAGAAGCTGTTGTTGTTGTTTTTGCTGCTGCTGCTGCTGCTGTTGTTGTGTGGCTTCATCTCATTTCCAACTAAGGCAAATCCTTCACGGGGGTTTCTGAAACTATGTGTGACTTGCCCAAGGTCACTCAATGGGTTTCCATGGCTAAGTGAGGAATCGAAACCCTGGTCTCTGGAGTCATAGAATCATAGAATCAAAGAGTTGGAAGAGACCTCATGGGCCATCCAGTCCAACCCCCTGCCAAGAAGCAGGAATATTGCATTCAAATCACCCCTGACAATTGGCCATCCAGCCTCTGCTTAAAAGCTTCCAAAGAAGGAGCCTCCACCACACTCCGGGGCAGAGAGTTCCACTGCTGAACGGCTCTCACAGTCAGGAAGTTCTTCCTCATGTTCAGATGGAATCTCCTCTCTTGTAGTTTGAACTATGACTATGGACTATGACTATGGACTATGACTATGAGTCATAGTCCAACACTTAAAAGTGTATCTATTATGACATCATGGCCAGTATAATTGATTGGAAAATAGGAGAGAACAGTCCAAAATGTGTGTGTGTGGTGATCCTTCCCCTTACTACAACTAGAGTCTTCTAGCCTTCAGTGCATGCTGGCTGAGGAATTATGGGAATAGGAGTCTTAAAAAGGTAACTCTGTGAGATAGGTGGGGCTAGTCCAACGTCAATAAGAGAGTTTCAGGGCTCAGTTAGAAGTTGAATATGGCTCATTGGGGAGGAGAACCCAGATATTCCAAACCCCAAATGAACATTGTAATCACTACACCCCAATGATTCTGATAGAAGATAAAGTACAGGGTGTTTAAAAAAGATGGATCTAATTGAAATTGCTATATCTCTACAACCAGGAAACATCCTTGAATGAAATGCTCATGACTTGAAAGAATAGGACATAGTTTCTAATGATTTCCGATAGATGTCTTTCTTAGCACACAAACAGCCCCTAGCCCAAATCAACTGTGAGATGGCAACTATGCAACATAAGGTGTTTTGTGATCTTTTTTGTGAATGACTGAGGCTAGAGGGTGTTTGTGCACTGAGCATTAATCAAACTATGTTCCATCCTACAAGTGATGAGAGTTTCATTCAAGGGTGGTTTGTGGTGGCAGAGAAAGCACTTTCAAATTGGGTCGATCTATTGGGAACCCCTGTATTTTATCTTTGTTGTTAGGTATATTTCCACAAATATCTAATGTTCAGCAAACTGAGGTATGGTGCACTTTTTAATTTATATTTGGCAGGTTATTTAGAACATGTTAACAAATGACACTTGATCCTGGGAGGGTACTGTGTATTTGAAATTGAAAATATATCTTGCTTCAGTGATTGGTCTTGTGGTTCCAGTATTCATATTTTTGTCATCTCAACATTGTTTGGAGATTCAAAACCAGTTCTCCCAGTATCCTAGCCCATTACTCAAACAGTAACTAGTATACTAGGTCTCTTGAAAGGATATATCCCCCCACCCCCCGGTTCCCAAGGTTTTAATTTTAAAAGGCTATGCTTGACTATTTATGTGGCTACTAGTTCTCTTGATGCTCTGGTGTCCTTCATATATTTTTTATGAAGTACCTCAAATATGTGTGGCTTTGTACTAGATCTCTTTTCGTGTTTTAAAATTGTCTGGGACCTGTTTGGACACTATCTCTCATGGACACTGATATTGGCCATGCTGGATGGTACTAATGGACACTGAAGTGTAAATGTTTGGAGGATCATAAGTTGGATGGCCTATTTGCAACTTTCCAGTGTTGGTTGGAGAATTTAGGATGGTTAACTAAGGATTACAGAGATTGTGGCCCAAAACTAACTTTTCCAAATTCAGCTGAAATCACAACACTGCTTTCTTTTCTACTGCCAGCAGCCGGTTCTGTGAAAGACAGGCAGGGAAATATGTATCACAGTACGTCAGCCCAGTCCCTCATTTTAGTATTTCCTAAATTAACTGCAATACTCACTTTCTTTGGAGAACACATGCAAGAAAGATAGGAAGGAAGGAAGGAAGGAAGGAAGGAAGGAAGGAAGGAAGGAAGGAAGGAAGGAAGGAAGGAAGGAAGTGAGGGTGCTGTTACTGCTATGACTCTAAAAGCATAAAAATATTTCAGGGAGGACATACAAGAAGAAAATGAAGCATGTAGTAATAATAGCTAATGGAGCTAAATAAGGCAAATGATCTGGATACAACCTTAGAAAAACAAGTTGCTTAGTTAATGACTGATTGCTGGAAAGCACCTGAGTGCCAGGGTTGGGGAGTTGAGCAAGGGTCTTGTTATCCTTTCTGAAAAACAAGGACTTTGAAATCACATGACTCTGTGTTTTGAAACCAAACGAGAAGAAGCTGAAAGTAGTATTGCTGATATGTGGATTAAAAACAATAAGGAGCAGTAGTTTTGGAGGCATGGCATGGACATGTGTATTTACTCAGGATTACAAACCAAGGTTAAGCCACTGAGAACAATTTCTGGAGAAATCCACTTGTATCATGGGGAGTGTCAGCTGTATGTACTAAAGCTCTGCAATTGTGGTTCAACTAATTTTGAAAAAAGGAAATGAAGGTCTCATTTCCACCAGATGACTTATCCTGCAAGGAATAATTTGTGTGCTGAGATTGCCACATTCAGAATAATAGAGCAAGATTATTTGAGGGAAGTATGGGAAACAGACTTGGGGGGGGGGAATGAATAATCAAGAATGGGCAAACATATGGAATATGCGAATACTAAAAAATAATCTATAAGAATTAAAGAAAATTACTACAAAATGATATGGAGGTGGTATCTAATTCCCATTAGATTAAATCAGATTGATAAAAAATACTCAAATCAGTGCTGGAGGGTTGTCAGGAAATAGGGACGTACCTTCACATGTGGTGGTCATGTAACATTACACAAAAATTTTGGGAAAGCATATTCAAAGAAATAAGAGCAATAATAAAAATAGAGACTGAGATTACACTAAAATTAGCATTATTACTTATACATGATAATACAATTTCCTTACAAGAGGAGAAAGAACTGGTTTCTAATTTGATAACAGCAGCTAAATTGTTAATATCAAAAAACTGGAAAGAAAAAAAAGAAATTCAATTAGAAGAATGGTATAGGGAAATTTTGAATATAGTGATTAATGATAAGCTAACTTGCAACATTAAAATTAAAAGGGGAATATGTAAACAAACAGATTTTTGGAAAATATGGGGAAAATTTATTATGTGTTTAATAAGGGAAAGGGATTTAAGCCAGCAAGAGATATAATAATATTTTGGAATGGTGAAACAACATGAGTTGGTTGGTCCTGGTGAAGGTGGCACAGACTAAGAGTAAGGGGAAGAGGGGGGGAAATGGCATAATAAAAGTAACTATTAAGAAATACAATATGTATAAGCGGATAAAAGGTGTGTGATAAGAGTTATATGTAGTACAAGTTAATGGAAATTTAAAAATAATGACAAGAAATATGATTTTAGATGTTTTTGATGTTTATTTACTGTTAGATTGTATATCAGGGGTCCACAAACTTTTTAAATGGAGGGCCAGGTCACAGTCCCTCAAACTGTTGGAGGGCCGGATTATAATTTGAAAAAAATGGATGAATTCCTATGCACACTGCACATATCTTATTTGTAGTGAAAAAACACACACTTAAAAACAATACAATAATTAAAATGAAGAACAATTTTAACAAAAATAAACTTATTAGTATTCCAATGGGAAGTGTGGGACTGTTTTTGGCTGATGAGATAGGATTGTTGTTGTTGTTGTTGTTGTGTGCTTTCAAGTCATTTCAGACTTAGGTTGACCCTGAGCAAGGGCCTGGTAAATGACCTTGGAGCGCCGCATCCGGCTCCCGGGCCTTAGTTTGAGGACCTCTGTTGTATATAATATGACATACTCTTTTGTCTAAGATACTGTAAAAAGAGAGAAGAATGTATGCTTATACATTTTGTTGGACAAATTTATAAATAATAATAATAATAATAATAATAATAATAATAATAAACAGAATAATAGAGCGAACAGTCAATAACACTCAGCATCTCTATAGTGTTTTTAGAATGATAAAAAAAATCTGTAAATGTCATCCCAGCAATGTTCCAGAATAAATTCTATAATTTCCTTCCTTCCTTGTTCTAGTATACGATTTTGATATTCTTATACTGTCATTTCTCCATGGGACTCAAGAAAGCATACCTGTCTTCTTTCTCCAGTTTATCTTTAAAACAACCCTGTGAGGTGAATTGGATTGAGAATATTATGTGCAAAGTCACCAAGTGACTTTGGTTGCTGAGCAGGGAGCTGGACTCTGGTCTACCCAGACTAAGGCATATGTAACAACTTCACCACTCAGGATTTTCACTCTTTTCTTTCTGCTTTTGTTTCAATAGTTCCCTTGTCATCTCTGTTCACTTGTGGAATTCTAGGCTTGGTTATTGCATACAGCTTTTTCAAAATTTGGAAATATGTTTTCCATAATTTTGTTGTGAGAGAAAGCACAATGAATATATATGAGATATATGATGTGATATATAGTCAGGCATCAAAAAAGATGCGGGGAGAATCCCTGAAGGTACAGGCTTGATTAATAGAGTTGAGAGAGGGCATATAGTGACGCCTGTCAGAGTGTTATGCAATGATGGCACGTGTTAGGCTAGTGAATGATTGGTAAAATATACCTGATAACTAGGAAGCAGGTGCCCAGATCTTCAGGAATTGCTTTTTATTTCAATTAGTCAGTTCCTTAGTGTCCTAAGTTACTGATGGCCGGGTTCCAAGCTGCCAGACAGAATATTTGGGGAAATGTAACATAATTCTAAATAAAAACAAAATTAAGAAGTACTGTGATTGCATCAAACACTGCTATTATTTCTCTCATAGGGAAGAAATAGGAAACCTGTGAAAGGTTGCTTCTAACAAAGGATCTGTTAAAGAACAAGCTCTCATGATGGCTGTGAACACACTTTTCTCTTCCATGGTAAGTAGAAATTTGCTTTGTTAGTGGGGTTTATCGGAGGGTAGAAGACTAAAGGTCTATACTTAGTAAGTACATTACATTGAACTCAGTGGAGTTTGCCTCTGAGTAGACATGTTTCAAATTGAACTTTAGTGCTGCCATCGCTCATCTAGCTATTTCAGGAATATGCCATCTGCAGTATAAAAGAAATGCTTGCATGCTCACTCATGGACTAGTAAAGATATCAGTAAACCTGCTGTAGACATGCTTGGGAATGTGAAGATATTGTTGTGAGTGCTACCACAGAAAAATTGCTGGGAAAGCATAACAGTAGACAAGTAATCTCCTGAAAACACTAAATACATATGTTATTTAATATTTGTATCCACACTGGTTTGGTTTGTTGATTATATGAGCTATAAATCAACTCTCTACTTGGGGCACTCTTGCACAGGGATGTGGAAATCCAATAACTTGGGACTCTGAATGCCAGAAATCAAGTTTTCTAACATATAGCTGGCATCCAGTAATGTGATGTCAGCTGCAGGTTATGTTGAACATGATTGATGTAGTAAAGGAGATTTTTTTAAATTATAGTATGAAAAGCTGATAAACATACGAAGAAGGAAGGGAGAGGGATGAAAGGGGGAATGGAGCAACAACTTTAAGATTAACTGGTTTTTAGCATCAGTTTTTATGGATATTTTATCACAAACATTTTTTTTGTGATAGTTTCAAATCAGGAACAGTGGAGCATTACTGACGCTTTGGGCAACATCCTGGTATTCAAGATCGTTTTCTCTCCATTTTTACTTCCAGGTTTTGAATAAAAATAATCTGAACTAGAAGTTAGTCTATTTCAATTTTTCCATCGATTAAATGAATGCAATTTGGAAATTCAGAACCAGTCGCTATCAGCTCCTCTTACGCTTTTCACTTCTCCATTACATTTGTACACTTCTAAAGTTACCCCTTCTTGGCTGCAGGTAGTGCCATGATAGTATTCCTCTATCCTATTCCTATTCCTCTTTATAGATGCGTGTCTGTATATAGCTAATGGCTGTTCTCAGCAGTGACTCGTACTTTCAAGCGTCCAAGGAAAATTTGGAAGCTTTCACTTCTGTTTTGGATTAACTGGATCTTGCTTTGACACCTGTATTAAAGACAAAATTGTTAATTTTAAAAATAGTTTGTCGAAATGAGTCAGTATGAATCCATTGTTTATGATGCTGTCATATTTCAACAAACACTTAAGATCAACCATTTTATGGGGGTTGGACAACATACTAAACTGGTTAATCTCAAATGGAAGTGGAAACGTCTAACCCTCTCTTTGTGAACACACTTGTGAAGGTGGGAGGTGGATGTGCAAGTGAAGGAATGTGAGCTCAAGGCTCCCTGTGGAACCTTATGCATTACTTTCAAAGTTAGCCATGGTCTCAAAATCTGTCCGCATATTGGTCTTTGCAGTGTGTTTATAGTACTGCTTTTATAAACAAGAATCCAGAAGTATTGCCAAACTGAATGTAAACCTCGGCTATACATTTCTTCTTGTGTGACCTTCTTGAGAAGGTTTGAACACAAATTGAAATGATAGTCTAAACTGAAGTCAATCTCTTGAATCCATAGGATTTACATAAATTTTGATCCACCATTCAGCAATTGCTTCGCTAGGTAGTGGGAGCCAGCAAAAGGATCTAGCTCAAGAACAAGTATCTTTCTAAAAGTTTTAAATTTTTAAAGTCAGTCAGTGGTACTGCTTGTTAAATGCCTTGCAGTCAGTTTAAATGAAGATAGAATCTTTTTGAAGGGTAATGTTCCAGGCAAAGTTTTAAAACCTCAATATTATGGGTGTAAAGAAGTTAGAAGTCACCAATGGTGCTCACATTTCACTCATAGTTTACAATTTAAATATTATGGATCTAAAGCAAAGGTTCTCAAAGTGTGCTCCGGGAAGCCCTTGGGGCTCCGTGAAGCATACGGAGGTGCTCCACGATAGCCCCTTGGGTTTCTGCTGCTGCTGCTGTTATTGTTGTTGTTGTTGTTGTTGTTGTTCCTACTACTACAAAGGTTGGATGGCCATCTGTTGGGGGATGCCTTGATTGTGCTTTTCCTGTATGGCAGAAGGGGGTTGGACTGAATGGTCCTTGGGTTTGCTCCTGTTGTTGTTGTTGTTGTTGTTGTTGTTGTTGTTGTTGTTGTTGTTAGAAAGGCTGGGTGGCCATCTGTGGGGTGTGTTTCGATATTTACTTTTCCTGCATGGCAGATGGACTGGATGGCCCCTGAGGTTTTTGTCTTTGTATCTATATTTTAACATTTGGCTTGTGCGTTTATATGCTGTAAGCCGCCTTGGGTCCACTTGTGGAGAAAGGCGGGGTACAAATACCTTAAATAAATAAATAGCAGAGCCTAAAAAATAAAAGTGAACCTTTTATATGTTTGCACTTATGCAGTGCTGCTTCTTGCAGAGTAAATTGTATCTGACAAGGCTGTTGCTCAAAGATTAGTAGTGGTTAGATTAAGCTGTCCTTGATTTTACCATTTAATCCAGCAGTCGTGTTTGGATATACTGAACAAAACAAGATAATAGGGCACAATGACCATGTTAAGAATCCTAAATCCATATCAGCCATTGCAGAACCCCTTTACAGAGTATTCATTACAGCCACCAAAACATTATAGACACTACTCCAAGATCAAGAGTAGGGCTGTCTGTACGATGTCTGTGTGTATATTGCAATAAAGAAATCCGATTTCTGCAACCTGTAACAAGGAGACAGGTTATGCAGTTGTGCATCATTGCTCTTATGCAGGTAGTTCCGTGTTTACTGTTCAGTGTAATGTACTCTTGTTTTGCTAGTCCTAGTAAAAAGAAGCTATGGTCTATTTGTGGCCAGCAAATGGGCTTGTTTCCAAACTCTGAAATTTTAGTCACCGTTCTGGCCAATAGGATTTCACAAGGAATTGCTCAGACACACTCAAGAACATATAATTGCTGGCTTGCCCTGAGGCTTGGATATATGTGGCATACCCATGACCCTGCTCATGACTCTGGCTGACAGTCTTAAATAAGAAGCCATGGCTCAGGGCAAAATACTCCTATTTTCCTTGAGTTATGAAGCTTTGTAACTCAGTGGAAACTGCAATACTGTGCTGATTATTACCCAAGTAATATATATACCTTACAGTCGTTTGGCTTCTTACTTGATCTTTTTAAGGAATTCAGAGACCTCTTGCTTTGTCATTTAGGATTTCTTTTCCTTTATTTCATTCTTTCTGATTTTAAGTTATTTAATCAAATTGATTAAGTGGGAATCATAGAGTTGGGCCATCCAATTCAACCCCCTGTCAAGAAGCAAGAAAATTGCCTTCAAATCACCCCCAACAGATGGCCATCCAGCCTCTGTTTAAAAGGAGCCTCCACCACACTCCGAGGCAGAGAGTCCCACTATTGGTGATAGTGGCTGAACTCCTCTTGGTTAGTCCCAGTTAAGACTGGACTCATGAAATCAATTGTTAAGAGATGAATCAACATTTAGGTTTTTATTATTGTGTCAGAAGTGACACAATAAACTGCAAGTCGCTTCTGGTGTGAGATAATTGGCTGACTTCAGAAACGTTGCCCAGGGGATGTTTGGATGTATTACCATCATGTGAGAGGAGTCTCTCATGTCTCCATATGAGAAGCTGGAGCTCGCAGATGGGAGCTCACCTCGTCTCGTGAATTCCTACCACTGACTTTCAGGTCAGCAGTCCAGCCGGCAGAAGAATTTAACCCATTGTGCCACCGCAATTTAATTGGTTAAATTAATTTAGGTGAATTTAAGTGATTCAGTGGATCTACTTTAGTTGAAACTCATAATATGATAAAGCCTGGTAAGTTTTAATATTAATTTGAGTTTATTTTATTTAAATTATATAATCATTTTATATTAGAGAGAGAGAGAGAGAGAGAGCACCTGCTGCTTTGATGCATTTAAATGTTTGGACCTTCGCAAAAACTGCATTTTAAGAAGTTTAATTACCCAGCCCCCCAAAAAAACCACCATAGGTCTCAATGTATACTCCCATTTCTGGCCACCTTGTTCTAGTCACTGGCATGTGGACCAGTACTTCTCAACACTAGGTTCTCCAGGTATTTTGGACTTTGATAATTTTCAAGGCTGTTAAGAGTTGATGCTCAAAAAATCTGAAGGGGCAAAAGTACTAAACTGCTGCAATGATTGGGATGTCTATATCCATATCTTCAGTGCAGTTTTCTCAGGCTGTGATGGATATGGAGCTGAATTCCCATTTAACAGTGTGCTTACCATCGGTTGCATTGGTCAAAGACTCTCCAAGGTCATATTTGTTACATTGTGTAACTCTAAACCTCAGATAAATTTAAATCATTGAATGTAGGTGACCTACACTATTCTGGAGGAAGGCAGGGTGAATAGACATATAGAGCACATTTGAAATACATCTCTTGTGAGGTGAGGTCATAATATGTTTGGGTACATAATTTTAAAATAGCAATGTTTTAATATTCCATTGTAATAAGATGCTAGATTTTAGCATGCATGCATCTAATTTGTGAAAGATGTGCAAGTTGGTGTTTCAACGTATTATATAAACACAGAAAGGACAAAGGAGAAGCCATTTCTACTGTTTTCCCCTACCAGTTTGTCCACAGCTACCACTAATTGTGGGAATCCTTCCCCGCTGGTATAGCATTTCTCAGGATTTCTTCTTAAAATTCCCTTTGCCAGGGAGTTTTGGAAATGCCCAATCTTGAGGATATAAATTGCGAACAAATCTATATAAATAAAAATGTAATGTTCGTTTGTGGGATTAACAGAACTCAAAAACCACTGGACAAATTGACACCAAATTTGGACACAAGACGCCTAAGAACCCAATGTATGTCCTTCACTCAAAAAATTGATTTTGTCATTTGGGAGTTGTAGTTGCTGGGATTTATAGTTCACCTACAATCAAAGAGCCCACCAACGATGGAATTGAACCAAAATTGGTACACA